GTAAACTGGACTTTCATGGTAAACTGGACTCCCATGGTAAACTGGACTTCTATGGTAAACTGGACTTCCATGGTAAACTGGATTTCCATGGTAAACTGGACTCTCATGGTGAACTGGACTGTCATGGTAAACTGGACTCCCATGGTAAACTGGACTTCCATGGTAAACTGGACTTCTATGGTAAACTGGACTTCCATGGTAAACTGGACTTCCATGGTAAACTGGACTCTCATGGTGAACTGGACTCTCATGGTGAACTGGACTGTCATGGTAAACTGGACTCCCATGATAAACTGGACTTCTATGGTAAACTGGACTCCCATGGTAAACTGGACTTTCATGGTAAACTGGACTTCTATGGTAAACTGGACTCTCATGGTGAACTGGACCCTCATGGTGAACTGGACTCTAATGGTAAACTGGACTTCCATGGTAAACTGGACTTCCATGGTAAACTGGACTCTCATGGTAAACTGGACTCTCATGGTAAACTGGACTTCTATGGTAAAGAGGACTTACATGGTAAACTGGACTCCCATGGTAAACTGGACTCTCATGGTGAACTGGACTCTCATGGTGAACTGGACTCTCATGGTAAACTGGACTCCCATGGTAAACTGGACTCCCATGGTAAACTGGACTCCCATGGTAAACTGGACTTCCATGGTAAACTGGACACTCATGGTAAACTGGACTTCCATGGTAAACTGGACTCTCATGGTAAACTGGACTTCCATGGTAAACTGGACTCTCATGGTAAATTGGACTTCCATGGTAAACTGGACTCCCATGGTAAACTGGACTTCTATGGTAAACTGGACTCTCATGGTGAACTGGACCCTCATGGTGAACTGGACTTTCATGGTAAACTGGACTTCCATGGTAAACTGGACTCCAATGGTAAACTGGACTCTCATGGTAAACTGGACTCTCATGGTAAACTGGACTTCTATGGTAAACAGGACTTACATGGTAAACTGGACTCCCATGGTAAACTGGACTCTCATGGTGAACTGGACTCTCATGGTGAACTGGACTCTCATGGTGAACTGGACTGTCATGGTAAACTGGACTTCCATGGTAAACTGGACTCCCATGGTAAACTGGACTCCCATGGTAAACTGGACTTCCATGGTAAACTGGACACTCATGGTAAACTGGACTTCCATGGTAAACTGGACTCTCATGGTAAACTGGACTTCCATGGTAAACTGGACCCCCATGGTAAATTGGACTTCCATGGTAAACTGGACTCCCATGGTAAACTGGACTCCCATGGTAAACTGGACTCTCAATGTGAACTGGACCCTCATGGGAAACTGGACTCTCATGGTAAACTGGACTTCCATGGTGAACTGGACTTCCATGGTAAATTGACTCTCATGGTAAACTGGACTCTCATGGTAAACTGGACTCTCATGGTGAACTGGACCCTTATGGTAAACTGGACTTCCATGGTAAACTGGACTTCCATGGTAAACTGGACTCTCATGGTGAACTGGACTCTCATGGTGAACTGGACTCCCATGGTAAACTGGACTCCCATGGTAAACTGGACTCTCATGGTAAACTGGACTTCCATGGTAAACTGGACTCTCATGGTGAACTGGACTTCCATGGTAAACTGGACTCTCATGGTAAACTGGACTTCCATGGTAAACTGGACTCCCATGGTAAACTGGACTTCCATGGTAAACTGGACTCTCATGGTGAACTGGACTCTCATGGTGAACTGGACTGTCATGGTAAACT